GCCTTTTCTGATACGGTGGCCAAAATATACTGAAATATAATTTTATTTATTTTTATTTTTTAAATAAATTAATAAACACAACTTTCAAAATTATTATTTTTATATTAAACCTTATACTTTGAGGTATATGTGTGCAAAATCACAGATCATTCAGTTTTGGAATAACTGAGATACGGAGGTTTGACATGAAATATACGCGATTTTACCATAGTGCGACGTGTCGGTTGCTGTACAGTAAGTAAGTGTAGTTTCTGTCAAAAATAAGGTCGCGTAGTATATCCTCAAAATATTAGTTTTATTTAAATGACTCGCGAATATGTCAAATCTCATTATGCAATATAATTATTGTCATATATTGAATATAAAATATATTTCATCAAATAAGCATCTCAGTGAAGTTCGTTATTAGTGATGTTCCGGATATCCGTATCCGTATCCGTATTCGCGGATATCCGAGGTAAAAAAGAAATCCGTATCCGTATCTGTGTCCGTTACTTTTCGAGCGGATATTTTACGGATCATCATCATCATCAGGTCTGTTTTTTGTCTTCGGATCGAATTTTACGGATCTTTTCAGGTGATTAGGTAGAATTAAAAAACTAATAAATTCCATTCACACTATTTTTATTTAATTAAATCAAATATTTGGCACCTTTATATTGCAAACATTGAGATAGATAGATCTTTATAATGAAAGAGCAAATTAACATCACTTTTATGATAATGAAATAACTAAAATATAAGTAATTTTTTCTTATATACTTTTAATGAGATCAATATTATATGATATCAAGTTTTAACGTCATTTTATGACAATGAAAAAACTAGAATTGAAATCTACTTTTTCATACAATTACGGGAATATTATAGCAAGCTATATTATTCCCGTAATATATAAGCTATTATCACTTCGGATAGAGTTGACCCTCACGTATCCCATGGTGAACCATTAACTGGAAACCACCAGGAGTCCATTAACATCCGGACACGTCTTAGCATTCCTAACATGAAACAATCGACTTGGAAAGTTCACGACGACAATTTAGCGGTCCTGTTAGAGCATCCGGGTTCGAAGCAGGAATTGAACTCGCAGGTAGAAACTTTCCAAAATACCGTTTATGACTACTTCAACGAGCAATATCCACCACGTAATCATTACGCTCGCAAAAATAAAGAAAATTCGTTCAAGATAAAAATGAGGAAGAAAAAACGGGAATTAATAAAAAATCTACGTATAGCCAAAGCTCTAGGCGACAACCACCTTAGTCATCAGCTAGCTAGGGCGTTAAGGTCAATCCTTAAATTAATTCAAGGAATATCGGCACAAACTGCAGAATATCGCGGTAATTTTGACCGGGCCAAACAGGAAGTAGATTTCGATAAAAACCCTTTTGAGTATTCGAAAACCATTTTTAAGAAAGAACGCGGACAGCTTCTCTTGACCAATGATCAAATTTACGACCATTTCAAGAGCACATACGAAGTGCCTAAAAGTGTAAGGCTCTATACGGATCCAAACGAACAAAAACCGGAAATTCCTCATATCGATTTTCACGGCATACCACCAACGTTAGACGAAATAAGTAGTCACATAAAGAGGAAATCATCTAAATCTGCACCGGGCCCCGATGGTATCCCATATATAGTCTTTAAAAAATGTCCATCGGTTCGTAAACACCTCATAAATATATACGGCAAAATCTGGTCAAGGAAGCAAATCCCGGAGTGTTTCGGGAAAGCAATTTTTGTCCTCATTCCCAAAAAAGATCGAGTTACCGATCCGAAAGATACTAGACCGATAGCCTTAACAAATACAATATCTAAAATCTTTTTCTCGGTCCTACAAACGAGAATGACGCGATTCATGCTCAGCAACAAGTATTTTAGGCCAAATCACCAGAAAGGGTTTCTACCCGGGATTTCCGGATGCCTAGAACACAATACCTTGCTGTCGGAGAGTTTGAAAGATGCTAGAAAAAGCGAGCGGCAAATTACAGTTTGTTGGATAGACTTAGAGAACGCGTTCGGGTCGATACAACACGAGTTGATGCTATTCGCGCTTAGATGGTATAACTTTCCACCCTTAGTTAGCGATATGATTGCGTCGTATTACTCAAAATTAAAGTTTTCTATTATAACTAAAGAAGGCCCTTCAAAAAGTTTGAGTTACAATGTAGGACTATTCCAAGGGTGCTGTTTATCTCCAATAGTATTTAATATTATAATCAATATCCTAGTAGATAAACTTAGCAGCAATGAGAAAAAATGGGGGTATCGGTTTAAGTTCAATAACAAATACACGGAATCCATTTTAGCCTTCGCTGACGATCTCGCAATACTGACACGTCTCCCCAAACACTGTCAAGTACTATTGGATGAAGTGGATAAATTCTGTGAGTGGACGGATGGATTGAGGACAAAACCAAGTAAATGTCACTGTCTGTGTCTTGGTAGGCGGAATACAAGATACACCTCATACGATCCGGGACTATCGATAGGCGGTCAATGCGTTTCTACGGTTACGGAAAATGCACCATTCAAGTTTCTCGGTCGTAAGATTGATAATATAGGTCGTACTCCATCTTTAGAAGGAATAGTAGATAGCTTTTTAAATGATCTCAACAAGGTAGATAGCCAGCAGATCAGTAACGTAAAAAAAGCATGGATCTACGATAATTACTTAACTTCACGTTTGAATTGGCCTTTCCTCGTCTATGATTTTAGTAAAACCCTTTTATCTAAATTAGATGCAGGCGTCATAAAGATGTTGAAGTTGTGGCTCGGGCTCGCGCTAACGGCTGATTCATCGGCTTTATTCAGGGATCGTAATAGTTTTGGGATGAATCTAAAAAGACCATCGGAGCTCTACAAACACCTAAGAGTTTCCAAGAGACATATCCTGGGAAAATCCCATGATGACGTCGTTACATCACTCCCAAAAGACAATGATGCCCCAGAGCTAGAGTCACGACTTCAATTCCATAAACAATTTATGATCGGAGCGCAAAATAACAGAGTAGGGTTAGGATCAAGTAGGAAAGTCCAAGATACGGATATATTGAAGTCTTTTATTCGGCAAGACGAGAACGATAAATACAAGATCCATGCAATGAGTTTAGAAATGCAGAACGAGTGGTTAGACATGGGAGATTTTTGCATTCCACTAGCACTAAAATGGCGCACCCTAATTCATGACTGGTCGCCAGCCTTGCTAAAATTTTATCTCAATGCGTTCCAGATGACTCTCCCAGATCAGAGTAATTTAGTAAGATGGGGTAAAGGTACCGAAAAAACTTGCTATATCTGCGGAAAGGCAGTTGGAACCGCCAAGCATTTGCTGGTGGGATGTAAGGTTCTCCTGGACAGCGGTCAATACTCGCGTCGTCACGATAGGGTTTTAGAGATCATACGTGAAGCGGTTAGTCTTTCGGTAGCCAGAGCGCAAAGGGAAATAACCACAAACGAGCGATCAATAGGTTTTGTGAGAGAGGGCACCAGGGCTATAAAATCAAACGTCAAGCCTTACTCTATCCTTAAAGCGGCTTCGGATTGGACTATCATGATGGATACGTATGAGAAACAATACAAAATCCCCGAGGATATTTGTGCGTCGGCCTCCAGACCAGACATATTTCTATATTCGCGTATTTTAAAGCGCGTTGTGATGATAGAGCTTACGGTGCCTTGGGAAACCAACATCCCCAAAGACCATGCCATCAAGGTCAATAAGTATTACGAGCTCACTAACGAACTAACTCGAAATAGGTTCGTCGTTGATTTGTACGCGGTAGAGGTGGGAGCGAGAGGTATAACAGCTAAATCTCTCTATAATCTACTAAAAGACTTGGGCCTGTCCAGAACTAACATTAATTCATTCTTAGAACGTACGTCGAAGGCAGCCCTAGTAGGTTCTTTTCAAATTTGGTTGGGTAGGGAGAGGAACTTGGACAGTGGAGGTGAGCGTATAACGCGCGTTAGTTAAGGGGCCCCTTAAACCTACACCTGGGTCGCAAGTCCCAGGCACTGTTGAAGCTCCTCTCCCTGCAACGCGATGGACCCGGCACCCGCACGGTGAATCCATTGAATGCTAAGAGGTTTCGTCTCATATAAAACGACTGCCCGGAGAGTCGGGCTGACTCTGGAAAGACAGATGACTGCCGGAAAGACGGATGACTGCCGGAAAGACGGATGACTGCTGGAAAGACAGCCGAGGGCAACGGCCTAGCAAGCCCAGCCCGGTATATATAAAGCTAAAAGTCCTATAAAGAAAAATACCCCTGGGACAGTCCGAGAGGGGGGGCGGAAGATCTGTCCACCGGTCGATTTAAACGGCGAAAACGGCGCGAATACGGACTTGAAATGCTCTACGTGCGGGAAAAATTACAAGAGACGAGCCTGGTACATTAAACACCTAAAAACACATAATGGTGTTGAAGCGCGACAATCGTTGGTAAGTTCTTCAATTATCACTTCGGATAGAGTTGACCCTCACGTATCCCATGGTGAACCATTAACTGGAAACCACCAGGAGTCCATTAACATCCGGACACGTCTTAGCATTCCTAACATGAAACAATCGACTTGGAAAGTTCACGACGACAATTTAGCGGTCCTGTTAGAGCATCCGGGCTCGAAGCAGGAATTGAACTCGCAGGTAGAAACTTTCCAAAATACCGTTTATGACTACTTCAACGAGCAATATCCACCACGTAATCATTACGCTCGCAAAAATAAAGAAAATTCGTTCAAGATAAAAATGAGGAAGAAAAAAACGGGAATTAATAAAAAATCTACGTATAGCCAAAGCTCTAGGCGACAACCACCTTAGTCATCAGCTAGCTAGGGCGTTAAGGTCAATCCTTAAATTAATTCAAGGAATATCGGCACAAACTGCAGAATATCGCGGTAATTTTGACCGGGCCAAACAGGAAGTAGATTTCGATAAAAACCCTTTTGAGTATTCGAAAACCATTTTTAAGAAAGAACGCGGACAGCTTCTCTTGACCAATGATCAAATTTACGACCATTTCAAGAGCACATACGAAGTGCCTAAAAGTGTAAGGCTCTATACGGATCCAAACGAACAAAAACCGGAAATTCCTCATATCGATTTTCACGGCATACCACCAACGTTAGACGAAATAAGTAGTCACATAAAGAGGAAATCATCTAAATCTGCACCGGGCCCCGATGGTATCCCATATATAGTCTTTAAAAAATGTCCATCGGTTCGTAAACACCTCATAAATATATACGGCAAAATCTGGTCAAGGAAGCAAATCCCGGAGTGTTTCGGGAAAGCAATTTTTGTCCTCATTCCCAAAAAAGATCGAGTTACCGATCCGAAAGATACTAGACCGATAGCCTTAACAAATACAATATCTAAAATCTTTTTCTCGGTCCTACAAACGAGAATGACGCGATTCATGCTCAGCAACAAGTATTTTAGGCCAAATCACCAGAAAGGGTTTCTACCCGGGATTTCCGGATGCCTAGAACACAATACCTTGCTGTCGGAGAGTTTGAAAGATGCTAGAAAAAGCGAGCGGCAAATTACAGTTTGTTGGATAGACTTAGAGAACGCGTTCGGGTCGATACAACACGAGTTGATGCTATTCGCGCTTAGATGGTATAACTTTCCACCCTTAGTTAGCGATATGATTGCGTCGTATTACTCAAAATTAAAGTTTTCTATTATAACTAAAGAAGGCCCTTCAAAAAGTTTGAGTTACAATGTAGGACTATTCCAAGGGTGCTGTTTATCTCCAATAGTATTTAATATTATAATCAATATCCTAGTAGATAAACTTAGCAGCAATGAGAAAAAATGGGGGTATCGGTTTAAGTTCAATAACAAATACACGGAATCCATTTTAGCCTTCGCTGACGATCTCGCAATACTGACACGTCTCCCCAAACACTGTCAAGTACTATTGGATGAAGTGGATAAATTCTGTGAGTGGACGGATGGATTGAGGACAAAACCAAGTAAATGTCACTGTCTGTGTCTTGGTAGGCGGAATACAAGATACACCTCATACGATCCGGGACTATCGATAGGCGGTCAATGCGTTTCTACGGTTACGGAAAATGCACCATTCAAGTTTCTCGGTCGTAAGATTGATAATATAGGTCGTACTCCATCTTTAGAAGGAATAGTAGATAGCTTTTTAAATGATCTCAACAAGGTAGATAGCCAGCAGATCAGTAACGTAAAAAAAGCATGGATCTACGATAATTACTTAACTTCACGTTTGAATTGGCCTTTCCTCGTCTATGATTTTAGTAAAACCCTTTTATCTAAATTAGATGCAGGCGTCATAAAGATGTTGAAGTTGTGGCTCGGGCTCGCGCTAACGGCTGATTCATCGGCTTTATTCAGGGATCGTAATAGTTTTGGGATGAATCTAAAAAGACCATCGGAGCTCTACAAACACCTAAGAGTTTCCAAGAGACATATCCTGGGAAAATCCCATGATGACGTCGTTACATCACTCCCAAAAGACAATGATGCCCCAGAGCTAGAGTCACGACTTCAATTCCATAAACAATTTATGATCGGAGCGCAAAATAACAGAGTAGGGTTAGGATCAAGTAGGAAAGTCCAAGATACGGATATATTGAAGTCTTTTATTCGGCAAGACGAGAACGATAAATACAAGATCCATGCAATGAGTTTAGAAATGCAGAACGAGTGGTTAGACATGGGAGATTTTTGCATTCCACTAGCACTAAAATGGCGCACCCTAATTCATGACTGGTCGCCAGCCTTGCTAAAATTTTATCTCAATGCGTTCCAGATGACTCTCCCAGATCAGAGTAATTTAGTAAGATGGGGTAAAGGTACCGAAAAAACTTGCTATATCTGCGGAAAGGCAGTTGGAACCGCCAAGCATTTGCTGGTGGGATGTAAGGTTCTCCTGGACAGCGGTCAATACTCGCGTCGTCACGATAGGGTTTTAGAGATCATACGTGAAGCGGTTAGTCTTTCGGTAGCCAGAGCGCAAAGGGAAATAACCACAAACGAGCGATCAATAGGTTTTGTGAGAGAGGGCACCAGGGCTATAAAATCAAACGTCAAGCCTTACTCTATCCTTAAAGCGGCTTCGGATTGGACTATCATGATGGATACGTATGAGAAACAATACAAAATCCCCGAGGATATTTGTGCGTCGGCCTCCAGACCAGACATATTTCTATATTCGCGTATTTTAAAGCGCGTTGTGATGATAGAGCTTACGGTGCCTTGGGAAACCAACATCCCCAAAGACCATGCCATCAAGGTCAATAAGTATTACGAGCTCACTAACGAACTAACTCGAAATAGGTTCGTCGTTGATTTGTACGCGGTAGAGGTGGGAGCGAGAGGTATAACAGCTAAATCTCTCTATAATCTACTAAAAGACTTGGGCCTGTCCAGAACTAACATTAATTCATTCTTAGAACGTACGTCGAAGGCAGCCCTAGTAGGTTCTTTTCAAATTTGGTTGGGTAGGGAGAGGAACTTGGACAGTGGAGGTGAGCGTATAACGCGCGTTAGTTAAGGGGCCCCTTAAACCTACACCTGGGTCGCAAGTCCCAGGCACTGTTGAAGCTCCTCTCCCTGCAACGCGATGGACCCGGCACCCGCACGGTGAATCCATTGAATGCTAAGAGGTTTCGTCTCTAACATCATGGTCACTTTTATGTCAATGAAAAAAGAAACTAAAACGTAAACCTCTTTTTTATAATCATGAATCAAGATCCGTATCCGTATCCGCGGATCTTGACACTAAATATCCGTGTTCAGATCCGTATTCGCGGATATACATTTTTAGCGATCCGGCACATCACTATTCGTTATATATCGGGATCTTAACACTCTAAACGTCAGCGACCTCAGGAACCACTCAAACCTTATACAGAACAAGCTTCAATAGCAGTAACTGCTTATGGTATTTATATTCACATGTTCAAGAATATAATGTTTATTAAACTGTAATAATTAACTCATCAACAGACGCTGATATCTTCTCATTTCTAAATTAATATGCTTCGTTTATTAAACCAAGTCCTTGTTGAATATTTTATGTTCGTGATCACATTATCTACTCAATATTTGTTACAAAAACACAATCTCAGCGTGTGTTCAACTGGTATATTTAATGAGATATCACAATGTAATCCTTATACTGTCACTTTAGAGTCTATATTAGAAGTAACGTTACTATACTGCCACGTTTTTCGTATTCTATTATTCAAGTGACGAGGGACAACTATACGACGAACTGTGAAAGATAAAAACAATTTGAACAAAATTTGATATCAAAGTTCAATGACATTAAGGTATAATTTTGTAAAAGTGTTATTATGATATGTGACACATAAAAATGATATGGAAGAATCGATATGTCCAACAAAAACCTATTGTGTTTTTTCATAGTAGTACAGTATTTAAACAATCAAGAAATAGTAAAGTAGTAAATATTATACTATGCGTATGCTCATAATAATAATACAAATTTAATTTGACTTGTTTAAAAGATATTAATTACAGAACAAAGAGTTTATTTTAAGTTTATAAAACCTTATTAATCATACACAAAGTAAGGTTATAACAACTGTAGCTGTCAATGTGCTGTTATTAGAGATTTTGTTAACAGTTACAGTAGATAATAAAAATATATAATGAAAAGAGATCCTGAACATTTTTTCCTGTCTTTATACGGGGAAACAGTTTGATGAAACGGGTTTAAAGAACAAAAGGAACTCAATGAATAAAACAGTACACTAGAGTGTGGTGGTCTTCACGGGACTCAAACAAACGAGTCCAACAAAAAGAAAAATCAAAGATTAGAAAAGTCTCTGACTAATGATTAGATTATTTAACATTAAATAGTCAAAGGAAATTATAAAAACATATATTTTTATATTTCATTGTAATTTTATCACATATTTACTCGTAAATAACAGCGTCCGTCACAGAACAACTCTACACATCACTGAGCAACAAAACTATACTGATCCAATAAAACACGATTCTGTGCAGTGGCGGCTGGTGGGTTATCGAACTGGTGGTTCACTTTACTAAAATATTGACAAAAACAACAATTGACATAAAATATGTTTATTTTTTGTACATTAAATCAATGCGACGACATTTTTCTGTAGCGAAATGTTCTATCACCTTTTTATTAAAATCTGATTCCAGTTTCTGTCCAAATCGATTCTCCGCCAAAAATAATGCAAGGAAAACAAAAGAATGTATTAAGACGCTCACATCCACACAACCATTTCTTTCTATTATACATTTCACTTTTAAAACTTCGTATAAATGCTTTATTTTTCGATTTACACTCTTGTTTTAAATTTAAAAAGGGCCGTGGCGGCCCGGCCAATTTTATGTTCACTTTACTTTGAAAAATTTTGTTATTTTCTTTAATATAATCAATATTTATACTCATTTTCAACTAATAAAAAACACAGTACAGAATAAAAGTTCTATTATAGAAACGAAATAAAAACTAAAACGAATTACGGAAATAATTATAAACAATAACGAATTAACGCGTCACGCATACAGTGAAAGTTGAAACAATACCAATAACGATTAACGAAATGTCAATCATAGCACCCATCCTTTCGGCCGGCCCCTTGCCGGCCGGCTCAATACGTCATACATCGGGTGCTCTCGGTAACCTTCGGCCGCTTCGTGCGGCGCGCGAGAACCGACTCGTTACTCGGTACATTTCTATGAACTATCTTTTGTCTCACGCGCCAGGCGTATTGATGCGTGTCTCATACAAGATGTATTAGCAGTCCTCGTGCACTCGCCGGAGCGCACGATATGAGTTTAGTAAAGCGCTCAAACTTTTTGACCATAATTGGAAATTAAATTTTTTATACCTTTTTGTATGTTTAAAAAATAAATATTAAAATGGTAATTTAAAAATTAAGATGACATAATATTTTGTAATTTTTAAATATTTTGAATTGGTGGTTCAGCGCACGGGCGCACTTAAGGTACAGCCGCCACTGATTCTGTGTATTTGTTTCCAAAATATAATCCATCAAATTTTTATATCATGTTTATGTATGTATATATATAATTAAGAGTATAGTTTTTTATGTTAATAATTTTTAATTTATATAATATTCCAGTTACACTCAGAAAGGATCACATGAAGGAAGTTTAATTATGAATACATTTTCTATTGTAATAAAAACAAACGAAGATAATAACAGACGATGGATATAAGAGGCCAGTACACGGAGCTTCTAATACAGGGGAACATGTTGTAAGTGTACTGAATATATGTTAGATAGTTACGTGACTATTTAAAGATAAAGAATATATACCAACCAACTTATAATAAGATGAACAAAACCATATGTACGTAACGTTACACAAAATGTATCGAACATTATTAGTGCCACATCACCGAGTACTGAGTATTATATAAAATAACATTGTTTAATTAGATATAAAACACGAAAACGTCACGCACACCTCACCGTTTTTATATCATACTAGTTTTTGCTCGCGACTTCGTCCGCGTTAGTTTGGTCAAGAGTAATTTATGTAGGTATAGCTGACCAGGCGAACTCTATTCCGTCTTAGAGGCCATAAATAATCAAGTTTTTCCTGTTTCAATCAAACAGAATGATCGACATATTAGTTAGTTGTTAAATCTAATGTCAAAAAAAAAAAAAACGTTTGTATGGGAAATAGAAAAGGGCTGTTTTTGGGGTTTTTCCGTCAATTATTCCAATTTTTCTCACCTTTTAAACCTTCCCTGGACTTCCAGGAGTATTTCAAGACTAAAATTAGCAAAATCGGTTCAGCCGTTCTCGAGTTTTAGCGAGACTAAGGAAGAGCAATCCATTTTTATATATATAGAAGAAGAAGATATTAAACCCTAACATCTTAAGTCACTTTATTATTTACATTCACTGACTCCTGATATGTTAAGAAAACAATATTTCTTAAGCCTCTCAGTTTTCAATGACAGTACTTTTAATTTTTATTTTGTGTAAACTTCCAGGCCCGAGCGGATTCTCCCACATTTATACGAGTTCATTTATATAAAGTTGGAAGAACTCTTGTAGCCATTGAGACAATTTGGATTATGATATTGGTTTTACTGGAAGTAATTGGTTTAAAGTTAAGTAAGAAACTTCATGCTAGTTCACCATTTACTTTGTATTACTATGAGTGAGTAATACTGGCGGTCCTTAATAAATAGGTCTTTAGGTTAATACAGTTATATAAAGATAAAATATAATAAAAACGAGAGAACAAAAATATTATTTATCATCAAAACTAGACGAAGTGATGTAAGTAGTTTTCAAATTTTAAGTTTATAGTGTAGCAAAAGTAAAGAAAAAAATATTTTCGTCTTATAATTAAAACAGAGATTATTATTGGAATGCATTGGCTTTCATAAAAAAATATATGAAGATGAAGAAGAAGAAATGTCACTTGTACCAATATGGAATATAAATACGGGACGATATTACGGGATAAGCAAGTCTTCCTTATACACAACACGTATTATAAAAGAGGAGAGAGAACCAAGTCGATATTCAACCGAACCTATAATATATTAAGAACATAAACTTCTGTACATGAGAACGCTTATATCTCTGAGACAATGTCTTTCCTCTGCACACATTTAGAGTTAACAATTTTCGGATTTTACTTCCCGCTCTTATTATTTTGTTTTCAAACTCTTTGCTACTTTGTAATAACCAACCGTGCAACTTCTGTACGAATTTAGATTTTCTTTGTCACTGATGTCTGCTGTTGGAGAAGGAACGTAACATATGAAAGTTTAACATTCAGCTTTCCAGTATATATTCTCAGATAGCACTTGTGTGATCAACGATAAATATTTGGTTGCTTTTTACTTCGTATCTTTGAAATTTGAATTGTTACACTTGAACTTTAGTTGTGTTTGAGTGTATCTGTGCACTTTGGTCTTGGACATCCCTTTTAATAAACCATTTGACTTCTCATTCTGAATGTCCATGTTACTTTAATTCAAAATGTATATCGATTAATGGATTCCTGGATCACACTTTATGACTGCTTCACAAATTCACATATGAATATGTCAATAATATTTCCGATTCTGAACCTAGTCAGTTTTATAAAATACTAGCTTTCCGTCCGCAGCTTCGCCCGCATTGAGTTCGGTTATATCGCGTTTCCAAGAGAACTTGTCAAAAGTCTGGGATAAAAACTATCTTATGTTTTTTCTCGAGGTCAACTCTATGTCTGTACCAAATTTCATTAAAATCAGTTCAGTGGTTTGAATATAAACTATACACAGACCATTACAACTAACATATTCTCATTAGTTTTGTTTCAATATAAAATCTTCAGTCACACACAGCTAGCAGGCCGTGCTCCTGTTATATATTATAGTAAAATAGTGTTGTAAGACATTAAACATCTCCCCGTTAATTTTCATCAGTTATAATTCTCGTCTACTATATCTTGGACTCACGCCAACACTTTTATAACGGAACTCAACTCTTAAACGTAAAGTGCACCTCCGTC